TATATATATATATATTTTTTTTTTTTTTCTTTTTTTTTTCTCACACTTCTCTCCTCTTTGTTCATTCAAGCGTCTAATTGGGCTGATAAGGCCTAATGTAAACTTGGCCTAACAAACAGCGGCATTGTTGCTGAAATGAAACTTAAGTTTAAAATGATCTAACCAATCCTACTTAACCTTGTTCCACAAAAAATGTTCCTATTGTACTGCTACATCATTAATCAAATGCAGTATAGAATGATAAAGCATGTTTTTTTGTAAGCTTATTAAAAACAAAACAAGGACTATAATTGTGACAGAGTTCTTCACAAACATCTTTCTTTCCAGAAACATATCACCAAGCTAAGCTTTTATCACTTTGTTCCAATCTTTATACAAGTCTCCACCACAATGCAAGACACACTGGCTTATATGTTTGAAAAGAACAGAAAAAGAGCTTTCATTACATTTCTAGATCAGAAGCCTATGACTTCTTAAAGCTGAGATACATGGTAATTACACCAAACTATGACAACAGAGGTTAAAAGTAGTGACAGGTTAAAGTCATTAAAACTACATTTGTACTGAAGTTAAAAGGTTCAAATAAGAGCTATCTTTTTGAAAACTATCTTGACTTTCCTCTGACGGGGTTAGGAGAGTCACATTAGTCTCAGAAAAAATCTGTGGAATTTACAGACACTAAATGTTTTCATTTGGAGCACTCTGAAATCAACCCCAAATCAAAATTTGAGATTTAAAAAAAAAACAAGTTTGAATTAAGTAAATGAAACTTTTTTTCATTCAATAAATTTTAACCAATAAATATTTCTTTTAAACATGTGGAAGAATGACTACAAGTGTATTTTCTATGAATCTATTAATTCTGTGGCACAATTTTAGGCTTACCATACATTATTCCAGCAAGACAGCCAACTTGTCTAATTTCTTTGTAAATATTTCCCAACATAACTTTTTTATTCAACTTTATGAAATACTTTTGTAATTTTCTTTCTCTTTGAGTGTGGCATCTTCAAGTAACTCAGTGTTTATAGTATTCTCAAATGTTTGATTTATGTTGTGAATGTCACATTTATTTGAAGTGACTTTCTTTTATCTGGTTTTATTATATTCTTTAGAAGTTTAATAAGATATTTATATCTTTATGAAAATACGTTATGAGTTCTTTCCAAAGCTACTGATATGAGTTCTCACTGTGTCAAGGGTCTCCTCAGTTAGAAGAGGATATGGAACAATCCTTTAAATATCTGAATAAAGATTAAAAGTAAGATAGATGTCAAATTACATACAGGTCCAAAATCAAGATCAGTAGGATTGTTTGTTTGTTTGTTTTTGAATTTCGCGCAAAGCTACACGAAGGCTATCAGTGCTAGCCGTCCCTAATTTATCAGTGTAAGACTAGAAGGAA